TTTTATTTTTTTAAATATTATTTGAGTTAAATAATTACAAAACGTTTTGTAGGTAGTTTCAGTAGTGAATAATGGAATAATTATAAAATTAAAAACATTTGTAAAGATGTGTGTTTATTTTTAAATTCAGAACAGACGACGGACGCGCAATATATCTTTCTGCTAATTAAGTTTGTAGGGGTAAATTGGTAGGAATACCGGGAGCATTTCTCATTCCACGCATCTGGTTGGCAAGGAACCAACGCACAGAACCGCACACCGCATCGACCAAAAAAAATCCGCTTTTCCATACATTCATTAAAATATTTGTCATCCGGGATAAATTGCACGTATCAATCTTATTTACAGCGTGACAAGATTTCAGAGAAAGAGAGGCAATTGATCGAGATGAGTTCACAAGCTTTCGGGGAACGCACTAATTTACGTTAGCGGAATTAACCAAGCTTTTCAAAAAGGGTGAAATTGGACCGTTTGCTCGCTTTGTTGTTTTTACTTCAGTCTCATATGTTACACTCTTTGACAACAGACCTATTTATATTTCATCATCATAAGGTCGTCAGTNCATAGGATATTAATTTACTTATTAATGTTATAAGACGTAACGTCAATTTTTTCTTTCTTTTGTGTTTTTAATATCATAATATTCAACTGAACAATAAATGTACTGCATTATCATTATCATAAGGTCGTCAGTCCTAAGACTGGTGGGACAGATACCTCCACTCTAATTACACACAAGCTAATCTTCGCATTTCCCTAAAACTAGAACCAAATTCTTAACTATTTGCGAACAGTAATCTAACCTAGGTCTACCTCTACCCCCCCTAACTCCTGTTTCAGCCTCTGATATGTCTCTGACTAGACCTTCACATTTGAGAAGGTGTCCTACCAACCTATCTCGCCTATTTTTTATTGACTTCCATAGTCCTCTGTTCTCCTATTCTTTCTAATACCTCTTCATTTCTAACCTTTTCTACCCACGTTATCCTCATGATTCGCCTATAACACCACATTTCGAAAGCTTCTAACCTTGTCCATGCTCACTGTCCATGTTTCGCACCCGTACAATGTCGCGCTCCACACATACACCTTTAACAACCTTTTTTGAATTTCTAAATTAATCGTTCGCGAGCATAGAAGCGACTTCTTATTATTAAAGGCGATACGACCCTGCGCTATCCTCTGCTTTATATCCCTACTACTCCTTCCGTCCTGACATATCTGACTTCCTAGATTTCTAAAATCAGTCACTTCTAATTTTTCGTCTCCTATCTTTATATTCGGCCTTTTCCTATTTTTTCTTCCCTTACATACTAGTATTTTAGTTTTACTTTTATTTATTTTCATGCAGTACTAGCACAAATTTAATTTTACTTCTTTCGCTACTCTTGTTTAACTAAAGACGAATAACAATAGGAATAAAATTCGATTTGTGATCTTTTTCAAGAAAAGACTCCTCAAATATCGGAAATATGGAATCCCAAACATTAGCGAATGTTTCTGAAATCGTATGAATTTTTAAGATTTGTTTTTGAGTAATATTTGAAAGAAAAATATAAAAAACTGAATATACCAGTAGATCCAAAACACCAATTCGTAATTTATTCAGCAATCTCCTGAAACTGGAAGTCCAATATTTATCTCCGACTCGTTCTTTCAACTTCCCATACGTATCTATCTAAAGCCTTAAGCGATGGCTATGGAACTTTTCAGTTATCGAAAAGATCGAAAGTCTTTAATGTCGCTGTAGTGGGCGACTGACTTATATACGAAAATACGTAGATTTAGTTTGTGGACTGCTGGCTTTTCACGGCTCTCTTGATGGCACTTGATTGTTGAGCCTCTTGTGTTGAATAAGTAACGAACGGTCGACATCGCATTCCAAATTCTCGCATCTAGATTCACACACGGATACATACACGTATAAATCGAATCGACTGTTCGATTCGATTTTTCCTTTTCATTTGTCGAACGGTAGAGGAAAGGACCGTGAAGTATCCGTTAGGGTCTCGCTCATTGTAAATACCTCCTCGTTGGTGGAATGATTCAATTTCGAAATGTTTACCAACCCTTTCTTTTTCTACTTTACCCCGGGGAATTCCTCGAAAAAAGTTGACGGTTAGAAGGAAACTGGAATTCCATGTTTTTATCTGCTTTAAAAAAATTCAAAGTGTTTTACGATTTCATTTTGAAAGGGGTTTAATTTGAATTCAGGGAATTAAATGCCAAAAGATGCCTTTATAGTAGTAAGACTAAGGCCAAGATCGAATGAACAGGACCAAGACTAAAACCAACACCGCAAGAACAAGACCAAAACTAAAAACAAGACCGAAAGATCGAATGAACAGGACCAAGACTAAAACAAAGACCGAATATGCAAGGCCAAGGACCAAGACAAAATACGCTAGACTGAATAAAAAATTATTACTTCCCATGGATTGATGAGTTGAACTATTTGAAACAATTTTAATAGGTATATTTTTTTCTTGGAACAAAACAAATTTTGTAGTGGAAATTTTCAGTTTACTTTACTAAATTTTAACATTAAGCATAACAAGAATAAACTTTACCACTGTTTAAAAAAAAGGATCTACAGGAATGTCCTGGGAGTAAGTGTCCTTTGTTCCTATGTCTGGATAACACATGGTTAAAAATTAGAGACAAACTAATTTTTTGCCATATTTTTTTCATTAGAAGGTCAATTTATGCGTTGGTGGAAGAATAGATTCTCGAGTTTTCATAATTCTCACAACCATTGACACTATAAGTCATAACAAACTCGCATACTACAGAAAATTCCAGCATTCAAGACAATTACTGTGCCGGTAAATCAAAAAAATTGTGGATAGACGAATAATTAAAAATGAAATGGCAATTACGTTGGTAGGACACCTTTTCAGGCATGAATATCTAGTCAGAGACACATTAGAGACAAAAACAGGAGTTAAAAGGTAGACCTAGATTAGATTCATCATCATCATCATCATCATCATCATAAGGTGGTCAGTCCTAAAACTGGTTAGGCACGTACCTCCACCCTTTCCTATCCTGAGCTAAACTTCGCATTTCCCTAAAACTAGAACCGCCCACATCCTTAACTATTTGCGAACAGTAATCTAATCTAGGTCTAGCTCTACCCCTCTTAATTCCTGTTTCTGTCTCTAATATGTCTCTGACTAGACCTTCATGCCTGAGAAGGTGTCCTACCAACCTATCTCGCCTATTTATTGACTTCCATAGAGTCCTCTGTTCTCCTATTCCTTCCAATACCTCTTCATTTCTAACCTTTTCTACCCACGTTATCCTCATCATCCGCCTATAACACCACATTTCGAACGCTTCTAACCTTTTCTTTTCCGNATTAAGTATAAAAAAAATAAACTTTACCACTGTTTAAAAAAAATGATCTACAGGAATGTCCTCCGAGTAAGTGTCCTTTGTTCCTATGTCTGGATAACACATCATTTTCATCATTATCACGGCTATCGACACTATTTTCTTAATAAGTCATGACAAGCGCATACTACAGAAAATTCAAGCATTCAAGATAATTGTGTGGTTAAATAAAAAGATTGGTGAATAGAGTAATAGTTTAAGGTGAAATGGCAATTAATTCCATTCTAATCAATAGGTTGGTAGGACACCTTCTCAGGTGAATGAAGGTCTAGTCAGACATATTAGAGGCAGAAACAGGAGTTAAGAGGAGTGGAGGTAGACCCAGATCGGATTACTGTTCGCAAATAGTTAAGGATGTGGGATGTTCTAGGTTTAGAGAAATGCATAGATAGAAAAAACCTTTTTATTGGTAACGGTAGAAAAAGTCTTTTGAAGGAGTTAAGAATTAAATGCCCTTGTTATTTGGGAACACACATGCAACCTTAATAATTCAACGCCATTTTTCGATGATTTGAAAAGTCAACTTTTANCCCAGATTATCTTAATTTTACCTGTTACTTAATTTTAATTATTTATGAAATGTTGTTTTAGTAGTACGACTTACCTAAGAGTCCTATTAACTTAAAACATTTATTCGAAAATAATCAACTACATACACTTTTGGTAAAAAAGGTAAAAATCATGTTTTTTGTCTGTAATGTTGGCAATACGGAAATATATTGATAGCAAGGAGTTGAAATTAGAACAAATAACATTGAAACAAGGTTTTTTAATTTAACCCAAGTATTTTTTTAGTTCTTCGTTTACTTTTTGCCAGTTTCTTTATAAAAATAACGGACACAATATCAAGGGCAGTTCTTTCAAATTCTGAGGTTATTTCCCGCAAAGTATTTCGATATATACTTTATAAGATTAAACACTAAAGCAGAACTGCTATTCTTTCCTTACTACCCTGCATCAGGAATGAAATTTTAACGTAATTTTTTGTTATAGGTTATATGGAAACAGGCGTCCTGTACGATCCAGTCATATGAAGCTGTTTACCTCTGAAGGTAAGAACACTTTAAAAGTAAATAGTGAATTAAGAAACTGTTAATGCTACTACGTGTTTCTGATTCTGTAGAAAATCCTTTTGCTACATATTACTAAAGAAAATTTTCTTTTGGTATTCAAACTTAGGAAACGTTAGGAACTTTAAAAGTATGTTTATAACACTTCATAAAAAGTTATTTCGGAAAAATGATTACGTATGAAAGATTACCTAAAAAAATCTGCTTATTTAGCAAAAATTGACGTTGCGTTTTTCACAAACTCTTTTTCGCTTCCTATTATTTGGACCGGAATAAGGTTCAGTAACTCTGAACCAGAAACTTTTCTCTCAAACTGTCGACCTTTGGTAAACTGTTTATGAATTTTTAATGGTGTTGCCTGGGCGTCATCGTCAGCAACCACCCTTTTAAAACGTCATGAAAAATTCAAGGCAATCGAAATTGGGCCACCGTTTTCCGTTTTAATTTGGTTCCTACTCGAGTAAGACTGTTTTAAGAAAATAATCCACTTTCTAAACATGAATTTTCCAGTAACCAATTACGGTAGTTAATTAAATCCAGTTTAAGAGCTGACAAATTTAGAAATGTATTGTTCGATATTACAAAAAGACGTAGGAAATAAAAATATTGATAAATAACTTTAAAATGTAGATAGAAATGCTTCGCTCAAAAATTGATTTAATTTTTATTTATTTTATTGGGGATGATGGGAGTAGGTTTAAAAGCTTTTCAAAGAATTTAGTGCCGGTGATGTACTTTCAACTTTAATATTTTGAAAATTTCGACAGTCTTGCTTGAAATGCACATGTACCTAAATAAAAAACTCAATATTTTAAAACATTAGCTTATAATATCCATATCCTTGAAATCATCCTCTTCGGGTTCTACAAATTTGTGTTTAAAAACATCAAGAATTTTCCTCTTTTTCAACGTCTTGTAAAACTGCTTTCTGGTTTCTTTCGGTGCTTTTCTCAATTTTTTACGAATAATTTGTTCTTTTATGCGTAAATTGTGCGTAAGAAATGCTTTTGCAATGGATGAATGTAATAATGTAGTAACCTGAAAAGATAAGAATTGAAACTTTAATAAAACACAACAAGAGATTATTAAATTAAGGTTTATTACTAATGAAGTCAAATTTAATATTTTTAAGATTTTGTTTTGATTACCTGCTTGCTGAACACTGTTACGAACGAATGCCGCAGGTGATCGATACCGGCGGTACTTTTGAAGCGTCAGCAGATGCAGGCTCTAAATCATGCATCGCACAAGATACGCAAAGGAGTATGTAGGCGAAGTTTCCAGAAATAATCAGAAATATTCTATGACCTTATAAATATCCGGGATATAATAAGTCAAGTGTACTGTGCAAACGGGAAGTATAGAAGACAATTTTCGTTAGTAGAGTAAAGAATTTTCTGTAGATTTCGAAACAGATAGTACCATTAACATTTGTTAAATTCTGTACATTAAACATAGTCACGTATAACCACCGTGCCCCCAAGTGTTGGGTAATAATTGTAAAAATGCTTGCGTAGGTAAAAACCTAATAACAAGGTTATTATTATTATTTTATTTTGAAAAAAGTTATGATATGATTCATCGAACGAATGTTACATCCATTATATGCGACAGAACTACCCTCTCTTGTTATATTCAGAATCACGGACTAGTCGTAAAATGACTTTTATTTCTCACGCGACACGTCTCATCGAACTGAGCAAAATGCGCGATCGTAAAGTCATACGCATTCCATAAATTTCTCATAAAACACTCATTAAACTCGGAACTAACAAAAGACGCGGGCAATCGAAAATAAATAACCTTAACGTACCCAGAAATACGAATATATACTGTGGTAAAACTTTTATGATCGCTTTTTGGAACAGTCATTTTTGTAGTAAACGTATAACAACAAACTGCACCCAAATACATACCGAGACTGATTTAATGAACATATTTATTTTTTGATACTGAATATACCAGTAGATCCAAAACACCAATTCGTAATTTATTCAACAATCTCCTGAAACTGGAAGTCCAATATTTATCTCCGACTCGTTCTTTCAACTTCCCATACGTATCTATCTAAAGCCTTAAGCGATGGCTATGGAACTTTTCAGTTATCGAAAAGATCGAAAGTCTTTAATGTCGCTGTAGTGGGCGACTGACTTATATACGAAAATACGTAGATTTAGTTTGTGGACTGCTGGCTTTTCACGGCTCTCTTGATGGCACTTGATTGTTGAGCCTCTTGTGTTGAATAAGTAACGAACGGTCGGCATCGCATTCCAAATTCTCGCATCTAGATTCACACACGGATACATACACGTATAAATGTGTGTGTGTATAAATCGAATCGACTGTTCGATTCGATTTTTCCTTTTCATTTGTCGAACGGTAGAGGAAAGGACCGTAAAGTATCCGTTAGGGTCTCGCTCATTGTAAATACCTCCTCGTTGGTGGAATGATTCAATTTCGAAATGTTTACCAACCCTTTCTTTTTCTACTTTACCCCGGGGAANAAAAATTATTGTAATTATAAAATTTCAATTTCACTATGCTCTAGTATAAACCCTAATAACAGAAAACCGTAATTTATTTTTTTTGTATTTGATATTATGTTCTAGTTTGTTAACCTAAAAGATTTATCACTCATTTTGTGTCCTATCCTAACAAATACAATAAAGTTTGTACATTACGATTTCAAACCTTAGCTACTCAACCGATCATCATGAAATTTAGTACACACTTTGCTAGGGGTACGGAAAAGGACATAGGGTACCTTTTATCCAGAAAAAAATACTGCTCACAAGGGGTAGGGTTATAGGTGATTGTCGATGTTCTTTGACACGTATGTAGTGCATTAGCTGGTAAAACCTTGTTTTTAATAAATAATCTTACAGTTTAGTACACCCAGATTATCTTAATTTTACCTGTTACTTAATTTTAATTATTTATGAAATGTTGTTTTAGTAGTACGACTTACCTAAGAGTCCAATTAACTTAAAACATTTATTCGAAAATAATCAACTACATACACTTTTGGTAAAAAAGGTAAAAATCATGTTTTTTGTCTGTAATGTTGGCAATACGGAAATATATTGATAGCAAGGAGTTGAAATTAGAACAAATAACATTGAAACAAGGTTTTTTAATTTAACCCAAGTATTTTTTTAGTTCTTCGTTTACTTTTTGCCAGTTTCTTTATAAAAATAACGGACACAATATCAAGGGCAGTTCTTTCAAATTCTGAGGTTATTTCCCGCAAAGTATTTCGATATATACTTTATAAGATTAAACACTAAAGCAGAACTGCTATTCTTTCCTTACTACCCTGCATCAGGAATGAAATTTTAACGTAATTTTTTGTTATAGGTTATATGGAAACAGGCGTCCTGTACGATCCAGTCATATGAAGCTGTTTACCTCTGAAGGTAAGAACACTTTAAAAGTAAATAGTGAATTAAGAAACTGTTAATGCTACTACGTGTTTCTGATTCTGTAGAAAATCCTTTTGCTACATATTACTAAAGAAAATTTTCTTTTGGTATTCAAACTTAGGAAACGTTAGGAACTTTAAAAGTATGTTTATAACACTTCATAAAAAGTTATTTCGGAAAAATGATTACGTATGAAAGATTACCTAAAAAAATCTGCTTATTTAGCAAAAATTGACGTTGCGTTTTTCACAAACTCTTTTTCGCTTCCTATTATTTGGACCGGAATAAGGTTCAGTAACTCTGAACCAGAAACTTTTCTCTCAAACTGTCGACCTTTGGTAAACTGTTTATGAATTTTTAATGGTGTTGCCTGGGCGTCATCGTCAGCAACCACCCTTTTAAAACGTCATGAAAAATTCAAGGCAATCGAAATTGGGCCACCGTTTTCCGTTTTAATTTGGTTCCTACTCGAGTAAGACTGTTTTAAGAAAATAATCCACTTTCTAAACATGAATTTTCCAGTAACCAATTACGGTAGTTAATTAAATCCAGTTTAAGAGCTGACAAATTTAGAAATGTATTGTTCGATATTACAAAAAGACGTAGGAAATAAAAATATTGATAAATAACTTTAAAATGTAGATAGAAATGCTTCGCTCAAAAATTGATTTAATTTTTATTTATTTTATTGGGGATGATGGGAGTAGGTTTAAAAGCTTTTCAAAGAATTTAGTGCCGGTGATGTACTTTCAACTTTAATATTTTGAAAATTTCGACAGTCTTGCTTGAAATGCACATGTACCTAAATAAAAAACTCAATATTTTAAAACATTAGCTTATAATATCCATATCCTTGAAATCATCCTCTTCGGGTTCTACAAATTTGTGTTTAAAAACATCAAGAATTTTCCTCTTTTTCAACGTCTTGTAAAACTGCTTTCTGGTTTCTTTCGGTGCTTTTCTCAATTTTTTACGAATAATTTGTTCTTTTATGCGTAAATTGTGCGTAAGAAATGCTTTTGCAATGGATGAATGTAATAATGTAGTAACCTGAAAAGATAAGAATTGAAACTTTAATAAAACACAACAAGAGATTATTAAATTAAGGTTTATTACTAATGAAGTCAAATTTAATATTTTTAAGATTTTGTTTTGATTACCTGCTTGCTGAACACTGTTACGAACGAATGCCGCAGGTGATCGATACCGGCGGTACTTTTGAAGCGTCAGCAGATGCAGGCTCTAAATCATGCATCGCACAAGATACGCAAAGGAGTATGTAGGCGAAGTTTCCAGAAATAATCAGAAATATTCTATGACCTTATAAATATCCGGGATATAATAAGTCAAGTGTACTGTGCAAACGGGAAGTATAGACAGTGATATAATTAATTGGCTTTCGCTGCTTACGTAAATCACTTATATCTATGAAACTTACAGTATTGATAAATACACATAAAATATTCGTGTATTAGTAACAAAATTGAAAGTTCTCGTAATTGAATGTTCATCATTTAGCCATTTTAGTGAAGCCGCATTTGTGCAATTTAATTTTGCTCAATGTCTAACATTATTATCGGCAACCGTTTGCATATACGTATAACTGTGTAAATTTAATAGGATCGAAACTTGTTTTTTTTTTTGTTTCGTCGAGAGAAGTTTGCAGATTGCTTTCGAGTTTAATAACCGAATAGACTACGTTTAATTTTTCCACTGTTTGCCCAAGATTGAAACAAACTCGGGCGTGTAAAAGAGCCGTTGTAAATTTTATAGAACGTATCGGTTAGTTTATCTTTCATCCGTTTCAGAGGGAACTAAATTTAAGCTCGGGCTTTTGCATTTTAATTAATTTTAAAGAGCTAATTTAGTCGAAATGTCAGCGGCGTTGCTTTCAATTACGCTAATCTCTCTTGCTCGCTTTTATACATTTCCAAAACAAAAAAAAAAAAAGAAAAACGAAAACGGTTGGTTAGATATTTCCACGAAAACTTCCGCGGGCGCTGTCTGCCGTATAAACCGTTAAGAGGGATAATACCTCACTTAATGTTTTATCTTCAATAAAAAGAAGTTATTTCTACGCTTGCGAACGGTTAATTTAGAAATTCAAAAAAGGTTGTTAAAGTTGTATGTTTGGGTCGCGGCGCTGTACGGGTGCGAAACATAGACGGTGGGCGCGGTGGAGAAGATAAGGCTAGAAGCCTTCGAAATGTGGTGTTATAGGCGAATGATGAGGATAACGTGGGTAGAAAAGGTTAGAAATGGAGAGGTATTAGAAAGAATAGGAGAACAGAGGACTCTATGGTAGTCAATAAGAAATAGACGAGATAGGTTAGTAGGACACCTTCTCAGGCATGAAGGTCTAGTCAGAGACATATTAAAGGCAGAAACGGGAGTTAGGACGGGTAGAGGTAGACCTAGATTTGATAACTGTTCGCAAATAGTTAAGGATATGGGTTGCTCTAGCTTTAGACCGAGCGGCATGACCTAGAGGTTTAGACCATTGCTTAGCATTCGGGAGGATGCCGGTTCGATGCCTTGGTCCAAGTTTTTCTGTGGTTTCCTTGGATCACCTAGGCAAATGTTGAGGCAGTAATATCCCACAGATAATATTTCATTTTCTTTTGTCTTCATTTCGTCCATCTCATCTTTCTCACCCGAACCACCACCCACCCATTCCCACGATTCTTGAAAGCAGGCTGAAGAGGGCTTTCCGCCCTACCTTCCGGCGTAGTCCGGAGGGACTGCCCGCCCACCAGCATTACTGACTGGTGGGAATGAAACACCCAAAAGTTTTTTTTTCTAGCTTTAGGGAAATGCGATGATTAGCGCAGGATAGGAAAGAGTGGAGATGCGTGTCCGACCAGTCTTAAGACTGACGATCTTATGATGATGAATGTTTTACCAAACTTACATTCACTTCTATTAATTCCATACAAAGTATAGTTTATTTGGATTTTGTATTTTGACTTTAGCATGTATATCCGCGTTAAAATTCATAAAGACTTTGTATGTCTCTTTTACGTGTTTCTGACAGATATAGTGAGTAAACGCGTCCATGTCGTCCTGAATGGTTATTCATAAAAAATTTTCATACAAACTGTGTCCAATACATTTTTCTGATATTATTTGACGTTATTTTCTGGCATCTCATTATCACATCATGAAGGCGTTTGTCCGGACAGTCATTTCACTCCTTTCTATCTTTTTTTTGCATTTCCCGGTAATTGAAAATTCGCAAATCTACTCGGTCCTTCTTTACTTCTTTTTCTTTTCCAGTTACGTCTTTAGTTAACTCTTCATGTCTAAGAAGATGTCCTACCGTTTTATCCTTGTTGTTTATCGTGGCGTCCCCTATTCTTCCGTCTTTTCCCGAGCAAATGAAGTGATTTCTCTTTTTTAAACGCTTTTCCGTCGAACTCTAACACCACGGTTTTCAAATTTTGATTTTATATTTTGTTTAATTGTTTCATTTAAGTAAATACAACGAGCTACTGTTGACAAAAAGTACATTTTGTAACTTATAAATTGAAAATTTTGTTAAAAACAATCATTGTTTAACAAACAATTGTATAAAAATTAACAGGATCGCTCACTTGACTTCGTCGATTTTATGATTTGGTTTTTAGTATTATTTATTTTAACATCGAAGATTGGAGTTATTTTCATGTTGTTCAGTTGTTATTAGATAAAAAGAAAATGAGAATTGTTGTTTTCATATTATATTGAAAACTGGAGGCGGGACAAATGTTTCGTAACAACGGATTTTTTTGTTAAGTCGATATTGCAAGTTCTAAATGGAGTTTCTACATATTATCTATCGGAGGACAGCAACAATCAGATCTTAGTCATCTTAGAGATTTGTAAGGAGGTCCGCGATAAATTTACGATATCTTCATAAAAGTTCCCCAATATTCTTTAGAGCGTAGAAAGGAGGAAAGAAAGGAAGGCGATCCAACTGTCGGAACGCTAGTTGGGGAGAAAAGACATGAGCGAGCTGATCCGAAACGATGTCACCCCTTAGCGATTTGTTACAGTCGATAAACACGAATTCCGATAATTTCGACTGCCTAGAAAGGAAGTTCGGAATGTCACTGAAGATGGTTGCATCGAGGGATTTTGTTTAGGGGACAATAGAACACATTCTAATGCCATGTACTTTTATTAATAGAGTTTATTATTCCACAGTAATTAATAAGAATTTTGAATATTTTTCCTCATTCGATGAAATAATGTGAGGGCTGCCCAAAGGACCCCGCCAGATCCTTGACAAATAAAGTTTTATATAATTCATGTGTACATTAATAACAATAGAATGTGCTCAGAATATCAATGATAATGATTCTAATACATGCATTCTTAACATACATCAAGCGTGTTATCAAGAATTGGTAGCCATGTTATGGGCTTGTTTGGATCTTGCTCTTCCAATTTTACTATTGGTTTTGTACATATCCCTAAGTCTTGTATAATTGAAGTTAGGAATTTGTAAATATCGCTTCCCCAATCGTTACAATGGTAGCTTCTTGACTTTATCCACAATGTAAAAAATCTGCAGTGACACGTTGTGTTCATGAAAAAATACGTATAGTCGACTCTTAGAAAGTTATCTTGTAGGAATATATGAATTTATTAACGAAACGCGTTATGAGATTTCGCTTTTCGAAGGTCACTTTTTTTGGGGTGTTTTTGGTTTTGAAGGAACGCATTGTGTGCCATGTAGTAAATGTCACAACATGTATAAACTCGAGAAACAAGCCGTTTGATTTATTTTATTTTGCGCTGCCGCGCCACTTCTTTCTCCTATGAGGGAGCACACGAATTTTTAGGAAGGATTGTAAGTGCAAATAATTTACCTCACTGATGAAGAACACGAATAACTGCACTTCGTAATATTTATTTACAAATATACTGTTATTACTACAAATGTATGTACATATATTGAAGACCCTGAACTTGATGATTTTAATAGACTGATGCTACTAATTGTTGTTTGTTGTTGTCTTATTATTATGAGTTGTATCAGCCCATATATAACAAAACCTCCACTCTGATAGAGGAAGGGGTGAAGGTGCTAACCAAGTAGCTTCTAATATTGTTTAACTACTTGAAGATAAAGTAACTTAAAAATATTGTTACCTGCAGAGGTCGATACCCTAAAATTACACCCAAACCACTTACATATAATATTTGTATAAACCACCAATATTTTGAATATATAAATTTCCAAATTAAGCTTTCAAGGAAAGGGCAGGTAAATGTACCCTGAATCTGAACAGTCCTTGAATCAAATGTTTCAAATAAATATCCCGAGAAATAGTTTTAACTTTCGTTTCTTTAGGTATATTCATTTATTTAGGAAAAGCTATAAAAAAAGTGTTTGATTCATAATTTTGATCCTGTCCGTAAATAGAAAGGATACAGATATCTCCGATATGGAAGAATTTGATTTTAAAGCTGATTTTAACAATCTATTTCAAATTGAATGGATCTAACCAATAGATATATTCGTAAACAATGATATTGAGTCACACGTTGCTAGTCATTGACTAAACAAACCTCGTCACATTCATTGTTCATCGAACTGTATCAAAGTGACGCTATTAGAAACGACGTTGTTGGTGCTTGCCGGCGTTTATGAGCTCGTTGATTTAATCGTTATGTCTTTATTGATAGAACGTTGTTGTATGCGAACACAGATGGAGTGGAAATTGAAACACGTTTCAATTCGAAACGGTTCCATTTTCGAAGTATGTATTGTCATGTTTTGTACAAATAATGCATGTGATTGATAGTTGTTGGTTCAGTTAGTTTGTTTGAATCACCAATCAAAATATCTAATAGGATGCAACTAAAAGATATGTAATCATAATACAAAATTTTTAAAAGTTTTTCGGTGAAATTTGTGAGTAAATACTATATTAGTGAAAGATTCATCGTCATCGTGATTATAGGGTCGTCAGTCCTAAGACTGGTTGGACACGTAACTCCACTCTTTCCTATTCTGAGCTAAACTTCGCATTTCCCTAAAACTAGAACAACCCACATCCTTA